AAAAAAAAAAAAAAAAAATGAGTCTGAATAATGCGACAGGAGGAAAGACCTCACAGCCAGATCTGTTGGGTTTTGAGCAGTGATTTTCTTTCTTCCCTTTGAAGGGGAAAGGCTTTCTACACTGGTACATAAAATTCCCAAACTATAGGTAGGTGCTAATTCTGGACAAGTGCCACTGCAACACAGAATGCTCCGAGAACCTGAAATTTTAAACTCTGGAGTTTAAAATTTACTGTTGGTCACTGCTGGATCTGTCTGATATTTCAAAGGAATATTAGGTGCTGCAAATAGTAACTGAAGTGGTAAATTTATTAAACACATTGAACCTGTGATTGGTTAGCTTTTTTTCTTGTCATTTTAGGAGACTAAGTATGGGGTGGGAGGAAGGGATACAATTGTATAGTTTTAAAGTGTCACAATTAAATACCAGGCTGGTTTCCCAAAATAAAAAAAAATTAGAAATAGAACTACCATATAATTCACCAATTCCACATCTAGGTATTTACTCTAGGGACCTAAAAATAATGATACAAAAAGACACATGTACACTGATGTTCACTGCAGTATTATTCACAATAGCAAAAATGTGGAAACAACCCAGGTGCCCATCAATGGATGGATTGATAAACAAAATGTGGTACATACATACAGTTGAAGTCCTGATATACACTACAACATAGATGAACCTCGAAGACATTATGCTGCGTGAAACAAGTCAATCACAAAAGGACAAATATTGTATGTTGTTGTTGTCGTGTGCTGTCGAGTCGATTCCTACTCATAGTTACCCTATAGGACTGAGTAGAACTGCCCCATAGGGTTTCCTAGGCTGTGATCTTTATGAGAGCAGATCGCCAGATGTTTTCTCCCACGGAGTCACTGATGGGTTCTGTCTGCCAACCTTTAGGTTAGCAGCCAAGCACTTAACCACTGTACCACCAGGCTCCTAAATATTGTATGGTTTAACTCATATGAAATGACAAGAATAGATAATTAGATACAGACCAGTGGTTACTAGTGATTACCACGGGTGGGAGGGGGGAGTGAGAGGGGAATAACTCTCTGCGAAGTGGTGAATTTTTGTTTATGGTGATGGAAAAATAGGCATCAACTAAGGGTAATGGTTACACAACTTGACAAATGTAGCTGTTATCACTAAGCTGTACACCACAACAAACGGCAAAATGGCAAATAAAGTGTTTTATATAATTTTACAATTACAACAGCAGCCTCCCCCCCCACACCAAAAATAAAAGCCAACACTTATTGATTCTTGTTGATCTCATGGGTTTAGTTTTCTTGGTTTGAAGGTTTAGGGTCATGACTTTGTGGGTCTATCCAGTCAATTGTCCTAACATTGTTTTAGAGTATCTGTTCTACCTCTTAGTTTGGTGAGTAGTGCCTCAGGTCTTAAAAGCTTGTGAGCAGCTACCTAAGATACAACAATTGGTCTCTATTTGCCTGGAACAGCAGAGGAAGAAGAATACCCAGGAATCAGAGAAAGAAGTAGACTGTAGGTTTAATTACCTCCATAAACTACTACCTCTGTTACCATGAGACCAGAAGAAATGGATGGTGTCAAGCTACCATTACTGAATGTTTTGATCAAGGACCCTGTCTTAGTCTGGGTTTTCTAGAGAAGTAAAACCAGTGAAGCATATGTAGAAATATATATAAAGTGATTTACTTCAAGGAAATGATTCACACAATTGTGGGGGCTGGCAAGTCCCAAATCTGTGGGTCAGGTGGCAGGCTGGAGACTTCTGCTGGCTCACGTGGTTGCAGGGGATGACAAACCAAAAATCTGTAGATCAAGTGGCAGGCTGGAGGCCTCTGCTGGCTCACAGGGTTGTGGGGGCTGGTAAATCCAAAATCTGCAGGTCAGGCAGCAGGCTGAAGACTTCTTCAGGCTTATGTCCCACTAGCCGGAGGTCAGGCAATGACAAATGCAAAGGAGAGGGAGAGAGCTTTGCCAGAACATCCATTTATATACTGGAGGCAGGCCACACCCTCAAGGAAACTCCCCTTTCAACTGATTGGCTGCCCACATCAGATCACAGAATGGAAAGTGATTATATAGTGTCTGCCAAATCACTAAAAATCATACCCTAGCCAAGTTGACACATAACATTAACTATCATAGACCCAATAGATAGATCCTGACCAAAAGGAAGAAAATTGTGGAAAAGAATTTCAAATTCATATGGAAACCAGACTTACTGGATCCATTGAGACTGGGGGAGCCTCCGAATATATTGCATAGAAATAATCTTTAAACTTTGAACCAAAACTATCCCATGAAGCCATCGCTAAACTAAACAACCGTTTAGCTCAGTTAACAAAGGATGTTTGCCTTGAGCATTGCGCTTTTATAAAGAAGTATCTATATCAGTTAAAACTGACAGCAGTTAATCTAAAGCACAGATGAGAACTTTATGGGGCAGAGAGTCTAAATTAATGATGATGAAACAATTTGGGTAGAGATACTGAGAATGGTGACACAATGTGAAGTATGTAACAATACCATTGAACTGTACGTGTAGAAATTGTGAATGGATGTATGTTTGGTTGTGTGTAGTACTGCTAAAAATAAATTAATTAATAGAAATAGAGAACAATACAGCAAGTAAATGATGCTGTTTAAGAGCCTATTCTACCATGGCTTTAGTCAATAAGCCTAAATTTTCCTAATTAACCACCCCCTCCAATTTCTAAAAAGAATATTATTGTCACAAAAAGTCTATGTCAGCTGAAAGAGCTTACTGCCTTCTTTTTCCCCATCAGCCCTGGTGATGGACACTCCTTCCCTATGAGGTCTATGAATGAGTCACAGAATCCATTGCTAGCAAATGAAGAGCCCTGGGAAGATGAGGATGACAGCCGAGGTAAGTAGGCCCAGTGTGGTAAGACAACAATGTCCAAAAATATTTTATACTATGTCATCCTTATAATTGCCCTTTGGATGGAGAAGGTCAAGTATTGCCAGATTTGTTTAGCAAACGTAAGTGGCTTAGATAAGATCAGATGGTATTGGGAGGTTCCTTACTAGTTTTGTGATACTATGATTCATGACCAGTCAGATCATTCAGGAAACTTAATAAACAGTGCTGTGCATGTTTGTAAACAATCCTACTACGAGGTCACTCATGGTGCTTTGCTTGAATTATTTCAATCACTGGGCAACAGCTCACCTTTCTCTACTCACCTTTATTCACATTGGTTCATTATTCTTTTAAAGTCTTATTCCATTCTCTTTTAGAATGGTTTAAATACACTCAAGAATAAAAGATAGTATATGGGGGGGCAAGCCTACATGTGCATGTAGTCTACGTTTCTAAAAGGCAGAGGGGCAAAGGAAGAATAAGGAAGCAGAGCTTTGCCCTCCCAACATTTTTTCACCATATCATTCGGTCATCTTGAGACTTTTTGTGGGGAGCTGAAAATTAAGTTATCGTGCCCTATATTTCCATTATCAGCGCTATTCTTTGTCTTCACGTGATGTTATGCCTACTGCTGTGCCCTCGACATTTGCTTATGTTGATAATACCAGTCATCAGATAGTAGTTTTAACCTGCTGGTCCTAATAATGCAGTAACTGGCTGCAGTTTTGAGTGGGAGCTGGTAGTAGTTACCACAAACAGTACCTGGGGTTAATGAGGCTATGGAATGGAGCTAGGACATGGAAAAGCATTGAGGTGGGGATCAGAAGTAGGAAACAAACCTTTCTAAATTTTCACCCAGTTAGATTATCCAGGCCCAGGTTCTCTACCTAGAAGTCCAGATTTAGAGTAAGGCACTTAACTAGGGCTAAGCAAGGCAAACCAGTCCCAAATCCATAGTTACACCAGCACATTACATTCTCACAGTTCTTGCCCAGCCCAAAGAACTTATAGGCAACTCCCTTACCTCCTCTTGCTGACTCTTTATTGGAAAATTGACTGTAGGTTTGGCCTATCTTCCTTCAGCCTTCATCCTTTCCAAATAGACTTTTACTTACAGAAGTCACAGTGATAAGAACTCTTATTTTGATATTAAGAAACCCAAACTCTAACACGAATCAGAGACTTATAGGGTCTTACCTGGTTTGAAATATCTCCACAATGGAAAAAATATTCATATCTGAGCTTTGTGTTGGCAAGAGGAAAGAATACTTAAAGGGTAGATGTAGCCCTACATCATAAAAAGGTTCCTTTCTTAAAAAAACGAAAAAACCAAATCCCTCGCCGTCAAGTCAATTCTGACTCATAGCAACCCTATAGGACGGAGTAGAAGTATCCCATAAGATTTCCAAGGAACGGCTGGTGGATTCAAACTGCCAACCTTTTAGTTAGCAGCCAAGCTCTCAATCACTGCACCATCAGTGCTAATAATAATTTTGGACTTCTTCAAAAGTATTTAATCATAACAAATGTGTATATCATTTTATAGTTTACAAAGTATTTTCATATACCTTATTTCCTTTTACTCTTACAACTGTCATGTTAGGTAGGCATTATTATTAATACCATCCCCATTTTATCAGTGAAGAAACTGAGACTCGGAGATGTTAAATAACTTATCCAAGATCATATAGCAAGAAAGAGGCAGAGCTCGGATTTAAAGTAAGGTAGATCTTGGACTTAAAGTATCCTGATTCCAAATCCTATGTTCTTTCCAGTACCGTGCTGTATCTCTCCTTTGGACAAATACATGTGAGACACAGTGCTATGACTGGATGCCAGCTTGCTGTCTGAAGCATTCAACTATTTCTTACTTAAATCATAATAGACTATAAGCGACCTTTAGCTTTAACAAGACCATGATGCCATCCCATACAGATTAGTTTATTTTCTTTAAAATCCATTGATGAAAATTCCACAACCCTCCTTTATCACCAATTCCAGTATCTAACAACTTTAACTATTAGAAAACTGTACTATAAGTTATGCTGCACTATTTGTCCAGATCCTTCTGTGTTATCCTCAGTTGTCCCCATTTTCTGTGCATAACCTATCATATACAGGCAGTCTTTACACTTCTAAAAACTTCAATTCCTGGGTGCTGTAAGTTAAAATTATGTGGGTTGAACTTAATTTCTTATAAGAATAATGCCAGGGTTTGGTTCCTAGACCAAAATATATTTAGTTCACTATAAGTGGTGTACACTGCATAATGTAAAGCATTCTAAGTTGTATATAAATGGATGAATAGGGTAAAACAGTAACTCGTTAAGTAAAAATGTACTATCACAGTCAGGAACTAAGTAAAGTCTTTATCTTCTTTGAAATTTCTGACTTATTTTAGTACAACAAAGCATAAGATAAAGAAACACCTTTATGAAATCAAAGTATTTAAATAGGCTTCTCTGATGAGATTTTAAAAATAAAGTGTTTAATGTACAAACACATAGAAAAATGCACAAATCAAAAGTGTACAGGTCAGTTTATTGTTATGAGGAGATTTTAAAGACTTCTGAGAGACTTAGCTTTAGCATTTTAGCTTTCTGAGGAAACGACCCAGATATGTCTGTTCTATTACTATCTTTTGTTCATCATAATTTCCCTGTAGCTTGCATAAAAAACAGCGTTTACAATATAAGTCTTTCTGCTGTATTCAGAATTGGAATCCATTTCCTCCAGATTGGCTGAGTGACATCTATGACCTGCCTGCCATTAAGTGTCATGAATAATAAGGTGGATGTGATTGTCAGAGTGATTCTTAAATGCAAACTGCTGTACGTTAAAACCTGCCTCTATGTGAGACCCATAAAGAACCCCCTTAGCCTTCCCAGAGGAGAGGAGTCCTAGCTCCTTAACATTTCCTTATAGAACTGATTTCACAATATTATTTTTACCTTTATGGCCCTGACATCTTTCTGAATGTTCTATGTCCTTTTATTATTGTTTCCATAAGTAACAAAGCCGTTTTCCAACCATCATCCCTTTCAAATTAGTTGCTATAGCTTTGACCTTGGACATTTATTTGAGATGCAGCATCCCTGGAAATTCAGAGTATGTAGCCACGGTCAAGATTCTCTAGGCAGTGAACCTAACAGAGACATTGGCAAAGACTCCAGCAGCAGAGCAATGGCTTTTTCTATTTACAAGGGAATAACTCTTTAATCGACACCACTGACTGAATAATGATATTATTAGCTTGCTCCAGAGAGGTTTGCATCCGCAAATACTTTAGGATAAATAGAAATACAGACCACTTCTTAGGAAAATTTACTCTGCAAGATCTTACCAAGGAGGCATAAGAGGTTTGTTTTCACATTGACTCAAATAAGCAACCTCAAGTGACCTACAGTCCTCATACGGGGGAAACAGCTGTTCCTCCCACAGAGAAACCCAAATCGAACTATATAATAATGTATTATGATTGGCCATAGAGCATCTTCCTCAGCAATCTCCCATGAGGTTGTTTTCGTAGGTGTGGATTTGCCTAGGCTATAAGGAAAGCGAATCATCTGAGCTCAGGATAGTAGCCTAAAATTTCTTAAGATTCTAAGCTTAACTCTGATAGAGGGGGTCAGAGAGTTCCAGAGAAATGTTGTCCCAGAGTTTACAGGGAACTTCCCAGTTCCCCCTATCATCTAGAACAAACTTAAACACATACCAGTCTGCCTTTCAATGATTACTCTGTCCTGACCCACAAATCAGAGCTGTTAAAAATGATTTCCAAGAACATCTACATTGTGGTTATTTGACAGGACCCAAACTCAGTTTTGGCTTTGATAGAAGTACCGAGGTTAGCATCTGTCAGTTGTAACCACATGATCTCTGTCCATTAGGCTTATTTCCTAACAAAGAAGATAGAGCCAGTTCCTTTCCTTATTCTCATTCAGCTCCTCATCAGCCTGGTTTGAAATCTAATAGAGAGGACTAAACCCCAGAGTACACAATAACTATGCACAGCCTATGCCAGTTACTCTATACTGGTGTATTAACTATGACAAGAAAAACATTTTAAAAAGAATGAAGTGGAAAAAGAACTGAGCTTTTCTTAAGTAGCCAAAACTGCTTTTAGCTCCAGCTAATGAGGCTGGAAATGGACTCTATTTTGATTATTTTTCAGAGTATATCCCAGGAGGGATATTTTTATTGAGTAAAAAAACTTTAATAAAAAAAAAATACTGCTTGAATTTACTAATACAGCCTTCTGGTGTTAATGATAACCAAGGCTTGGAGGAATTTGAAGCTTCTTCCTGTCAAATGCTGCTGGATACTTATCCAGAAAAATATTGACTTCAGACTCCAGTGTATTGTCATTGTTGTCATTGTCATTCTCTACTCATAGCGACCCCATGTGACAGAGTAGAACTGCCCCATAGGGTTTTCTTGGCTTTAATCTTTACAGAAGCAGATCACCAGGTCTTTCTCCCACAGAGCCACTGGGTGGGTTCAAACCATCAATCTTTTGGTTAGCAGTCAAGCACTTAACTGTTGTGCCACCAGGCCTCCTTTCCCGTGTATTAAGTGCTTTTATATATAGCCTAATTTCCTACTCCTTTATTTGAGTAAAGCTTTCTTTGTATGACAGTCATTAGTAACTGCTCAAAGTAGAAGGGGTTTCTGGTTTATTTTTAATCAGGTAGTTTCTGTGGCCATGATGAATAGCCTGCCAGAAAGAATAACAGAAGAAATAAGTTAGTATTTATTGAGAGTGTATTTAGAATATGACATTGGACCCATAAGGGTTGTTATGCAGTATGGTCTCTGAACTCAAGGGTCTTGCATTTATTTGGGGAGATAAAACCTATACATGAAAAGATGCCTAACAAAACACAACACAGGATATGTTATTGACCAAATAAGTGGGACCATAAAGTTTGTGTGGGCTGGACTGGTCAAGAATGGCTTCACAGAGGAGGTAGAATTTGAGCCTTAAAGATAAGATATTTGGA